CACTCCACCTCCCAGGCCTGGCAGGAAGCATCAGGCTGAGTTTGGGGTCCACTCGCTAGAACCCAGTTAGGGGGTCCCCAGTGGTGTGGACGAGGGGCCCAACGCGTGGGGAAGGACCACCCAAACCCCCCATCCCTGCTCCCCAATCTCCCCAACAAAACACAACATCAAAATCAGGCAGCGGTCGTAACAGGCTGCGTTTAGTGGTTTTTTTATGTACAAGAAAAATGATTTTTTTTTGTCTGGTTTTTCATCATCTTTTCTCTTTTTGTTTTTATTACTTTTAAAGCTTCTCCCCCCACCCCCCAAAAGTGCATTTTTATCAATTGATTTTTTTTAATCTCCCACATTTTATAAAGACTCTCAAATACAGTCTATGGAATGTCTGTGCTCTGTGCCCCCAGAGGCGCCGCCCCCAACCCCCCATTCGCCAGGCCTGGCCCCCCAAAGTCCAAGGCACCTCGTGTTGGGCCTGGGAGGGGTAGTGGGGAACCTGGGCATCAGGACCCCTGGCCATGCCCTCCAGGCAGCCCCGGCCGTGGGCTGAGGGTCTCCCCGGCCCCATCTCCTGGCCCTGCTCCCCACCCCCCATGTAAATCTATGTATTTAGTGCGAGCTAGTCTTAACTCTGAGGTTATGACTCCTGGGCGCCCAAGCCCCCAGGCCCTGACCCGTCCTGTGCCAGCCAACACCCCATTCCAGGAAGGCTGCTTCCTCAGCTTAAATAACTTTTTAAAATAAAACTGCAAATATAAATATCTTTCTTTCTCAAAAAATAGGATTTTTGCTTTTTTTGTTGGTTTTTAATTTTTTTTCCTTTCACTCTGTCTCGCCTCCTACAATCCTGGCTGCCTGGACGGCCTCGGTCCTGGGGGAGCCCCGGCCCCCACCTCGGTCCCACCATGTGCGACGTGGCCACTCCCGTCAAGGCCGATGAGTCTCAGTAGTGCAGACTCCCCAGAAGACCCTGGAGGGGACTGGGGGACCCTCCCCTCCCACCTGAGACCCCCCTCGAAAGGAAGCAGAGGAACAGCCCTGTATAAACAGGGTAACAAGACGAGACGGCCACGTAGGGTCTCCTGGGCGGGCCGCCCCAGGGGGCAGACTTTGGTATGGCCCGCTGGAGCCCGGCTGGGCACAGGCCCACACCCGTGCCAGGCTGGGCCTGGTCCGGCACTTTACATTCACTGGTTTTTA